AGAGGCATGAATTATTCACGTCGACTCCATCCTGGCTTGGTAAGGAAGAAAGGTAGAATGAGAGAAGAGGAGAAGAGAAAGAGAAAGAGAAAGAGAAAGAGAAAGAGAAAGAGAGGAGAGGCAGAAGTGGGACGCAGGAAAAAGGGAGACGGAGAGGAGAAAGCAGCACCAGAAAACGAGATTGTTGGTTTCTCACTCTCATAGACGCAAAAGGAGGAGCTGCATGACGTTCAAGTTTGCAGGAGTTCACGCGCTATCGCCTTGTTGCCATGGTTACAGCCCCATGCCCAAGCCCCAATAACTCCTACTGGTATCATTTTGCACTTTACATGCACAAAAGCTACATACACAACCTCGTCATCTGAGTTATATAATGTAAAAAAAAAAACACCAAACCAATCTTTCAAAGAACATTATAAACGCTATACATTAGAACAAGAATGAACAATTATTTGCACTTTACATGCACAAAAGCTACATACACAACCTCGTCATCTGAGTTATATAATGTAAAAAAAAAAAACACCAAACCAATCTTTCAAAGAACATTATAAACGCTATACATTAGAACAAGAATGAACAATTATAATACTTTTACATGGTAATGGTATTTGCAATACATTAAAGGTGCTCTATGTAATTTTTGTCTGTACCATAACATGTTTGCAGATGAAAAACAACACTACAGCCAGTTATTCTACTTTGAAATATGCTTTGCGTGTCAGAATGTCTGTTTTTTTTTTTTTTTGGTCGGTGTGATTCTGCCCACTGCCAATTTACCGAACAGTATTTTGACATCCAGGGTTACCAGCTGGTGGGAAACACAGCGTATTGTAGCCATGGAAGCCAGCAAACTAACGGAGTCAGAGATCGCAGATTCTACCCACTGCCAATTTACCCAACAGTATTTTGACATCCAGGGTTACCAGCTGGTGGGAAACACAGCGTATTATAGCCATGGAAGCCAGCAAACTAACGGAGTCAGAGATCGCAGATTCTACCTGACCTAAAAAGCCTTGGCATCCATCTAAAAAGCTCTATGACCAGAAACATATTCAAACTCTGATAAATCAACTCAGCAACTTACAGTGTAAGGCTCCTCACCTGTCACCTTCCACTGTCAACTGCGCTCATTCCTGTTGCGTGTCCTCAATCTGGCAAGATTGATAGTAGCCACATTGTAAACCACTCAAATCACCTAAGCAACACATAGCAATGTCCTGGCAACTACTCACAACAGCCTAGCACAATGCCAGTGAGTTTTTGTCAAAATCTAGTGGGTTAATAATATTTTTCCCCATCTATGCCATCTGGGTTACATCATCAGAAAAGTCATTTCAGAGGTGGAGAAAGTTTTATTGAAAGATTATGAAGAACAGCCTTTATTTCCTTTAGAACATTGTGCACTGATGAATTAGAGAAGTAAACTGGGTCATGTTCTGATTGAATGTTTTGAGAAAAAGCACACAGAACTCACATCACGAAGCAGAAGGGGGAAAGAAAAGTGAGTTGGATCTCTCACGCTCTCGGTGGACTTCTTGAGCTCTCACTCATGAGAAAGTTTTTTCTGTGTGTGGGCCTTCACTGAGACGTGCGGCGCGTACACACTATCTCTCTCTGCATATAACTTCTCTTGCTAGCCGAGCATGATCTCACTTGAACTGCCCTTGAGATTCCTGCCGTCAGCTCTTCTGGAACGTTCTAAAGAGCCCCTCCAGTCCTCACATCTGAGATGGGGTCAGCGCGTGACAGAGGGAGGAAACCCACAGGAAGGAGGAGAGGAAGATTTGGAGGAAGGAAAGCTGCAGTATGCCTTCTTTGTGTCAGTCGGAGTTCAGAGGTCAACGTATGTAAACCTCCGCAACATATAAACAAGAACGAAAGAACGTTCTGGGTTCATAAAAAAGCATTTGTGGCATGCTGTTGATTACAACAGGAAATAACTTCAATAGATCCTTCAGCTTGTCCAAACAAACAAAAAGTGTATAGTATAAGTGCACTTGAAGAAAAGTCTCTGACGCAAGGCATTTCTAAGACATAATTTGAAGCTTGTATGTTTGTAAAACATGTTTTAGAGCAGCAAAATTGTCCAAAATCTCATTTTTTAAAATTACTATTCTATGTGGATGATATGTAAGCAATCCCTTTCTGGTATCTCTCTGCATTTTATGTGCAAGTAACAGATTAAAGGAATAGTACACCCAAAATGAAAATGTTCTTAAAAATGTTCTCACCCTCAGGCCATCTAAGATGTAGACGAGTTTGTTTCTTCATCAGAACAGATTTGGAGAAATTTAGAATTACATCACTTGCTCACCAATGGATCCTCTGCAGTGAATGGGTGCCGTCACCCAAACAGCTGATAAAAACATCACAATGTTTGTTAAGAACTGTTTTCGATTGTTTTCGATTTAAATGGTGCTTGATATATGCATATTTCTCTCCTAAATCAGACGAAACAACTATAAAAAAAGAAATATTTTGGATAAAGGGCTTTAGGCTGAAGCAATGGTTTGAAGCTTAATGATGGATTCGTTTATTAATTAATGGACTGGAGTCATGTGGATTACTTGTGGATTATTGTGACGTTTTTATCAGCTGTTTAACCCCTCATTCTGACGGCACCCATTCACTGCAGAGGATCCATTGGTGAGCAAGTGGTGTAATTCTACATTTCTCCAAATCTGTTCCGATGAAGAAACAAACTCAATCTACATATTGGATGGAGTGAGGGTGATTTTTATTTTTGGGTGAACTACACCTTTAAATGGCTTGACAATGACAAGAGTAGAAAATTTGGATAGAATTTGGACAATGTTAATAAGCATAAACTCAAACATTATATATATGTATTATTTTTTTAACATTCCTGTTGCAAGGCACCATTGACTTCCATTGTAAGTGCACAAACTGAGGGACAAGTCGACAACTGACTTTTCTATCAGCGTGAGAAGAAAAAAGAAAACAGACTACATACAAATTCTTAGCATTCAATCTCTTGACGATGGTACTCAGTTTTCTAGGACAACTCGCATGGACAAAGACTCAAACAGGCATGAACTTAGAAAGGGCCTCTAGAAAGTTTTGGGGTTCGACTGGACCTAAACTTTGTAACTGCTATGGCACCCAGAATGTGGGCGGTGAGAGAAAGAACATGTGTTTTCATCATCCGGGGGCGGACAGGGAATTCAAGTGGCACTCGAATAATGTGGAACATGTGGGCGTCTGGTGGATGGAGGAGAGGTAGGCAGCACCATCACTGCTGGCTAAATCAGCAGGGCATTTAGAGGGAATTGTCATGGAAGCACTGCAAATAAGGAGTGTGATGTGGAAGTGCTGTTAAAATGATCCTCTCTCTCGTTCCCCAAACCTCCTTCAATCTATCTCTCCATCTCAGGTCCACCTACAGAAACATTTCTCACAATTAATACCATATAAGATCAAGTAAAACAATCCTTGTGCGTCTTGTCGCAGGAGGCGAGGTTCTTTGGGAAAAGAGCAATGGAGATAGAGAAGGTGGGACTGAAGCTTTGAAGATCACATACGGCGCTGCTTTTGATCAGAGGCACAATTTAAAACAATCCGTCTAGTCCTCAGACAACAGCTATTTAAGACATAAAAGCCTTTCCAAGGAGAAATCTACAGCATTACAGTGTGCCTATAAATGTATGTGCCCAGACACTCAAAATACAATAGTTTCATAACAACACCCTAGTGAGCATGCAACATATCAGAAAGCCATATTTGGTTTCCCATAATCCCTTGCTGCACATCTTCAAAGCCTCTCCATCTATGGTAACAAAAGCTACTCCATTTACATGTAAATATACAGCATGTGAAAACAAAACAGCCTTAATTTACTAGCAGGCACACACAAGCAGACCACAGCACACAAAACTTGGCTGGTTGACAAGATTAGTTATTAGAAGCATGAGAATCAATGGTGTCAAAATTTGGCAAGTTTGGAAAGTTTGAATATGTGCAAGCACAAATGAGAATTGAGAGCTACGGTGGAGGGTAAGTAATTTTAAATAACTTAAAGATGAAACTATTATTATTTTTTGAATACTTTCCCCATCTTTTAATATGCAGAGGCAACTAATTTATTTGATAGATGATTCCCCCAAAAAGTATAAGAAAATGTTATTATTGTTATATTTGCAATTACATTTTATGAGTTAATAATAATAATCCATGTAGGTAGATTATTATTATTATTATTATTATTATACTTTTTTTTTTTAAACTTAACTTTGTCCATGTTTTTCCATTAAAACTAAAAACAAACAAATAAAACACCTAAAAATTATTCAAAACGTAGGTAGATTATTATTATTATTATTATTATTATACTTTTTTTTTAAAACTTAACTTTGTCCATGTTTTTCCATTAAAACTAAAAACAAACAAATAAAACACCTAAAAATTATTCAAAAAAGACCATTAAAACATGCTAAGAATTTTGTTTCTCGGGGTTTTTTTTACCCCATTGGCAAATTATTATTATTATTATTTAATAATAATAATCAAATATTGTTTGTTGTTGTTGTTGTTGTCTTAAACATAAAGATTAACTACATTTTATTTAAATAAAATAACAATTTGCCAAAGACTTAAGAAAAATAAACTTAATCTGAAAATAAATCATATCATCTAACACAATTTTACCAGCAGTTGCATTCCATGACTTGTAAACAGAAAACCACCATCACATCATAATATCAGTTTCAGAGGTTTTGAGGTTTGTTGTTTACCTATTCATATTTGTTTCACCAAGTTACACATATAACCTTTCCTTTGACTGACACTGATACTGCTCTCTCTATCTCTAACATCAGACAAAGACAGCGAGACTGTTTCATCCTTCCAAACAACATTCTGCCTCATGACAGACCAGAGAACAATGCAGATGCATGTAGGGGGAGAGAAAACAATAATTATTTCCATGCATCGTTGCACAAATGAACACCTGTAGATACATCACACACACACACACACACCTGCAGGATCCAAGACCTCCTCAATGACAGGCGGCAGACGCAATCCGCAGTCCATGGTTGTCGTGGCGACAGGCCTCAGGAAGTGGGGGGTTGGAGGGGGGTTAGATGTCCAAACACACGCTCGCCAATGAAGCAGGCGCAGTGATAATGGTCAGAAAACAGGAGGGACACTCACACACAGCCCTGCGAGGAATGTCAGGCTCCACACACACTGTGCTGCGATGGTCGATACATCCTGAAACACACACACACACACACACACACACACACAAACAGATCAGTTCAATATCCCTCTAAACAACTGCAGAAATCACCGTCTAAACTGCTTATAGATGATTTACTGCTCTTCCTGAACAACTGTGCAGTTCTCTCCCTCTCTTCTCTCCTCTCTGTTTCTTATTGTCTCCTCCTTACAAAACAAAGCTTGAAACCCTGCACAGCATCAAGGGTATTTCAGCAACATAATCATTCTGAGAGTCTCAAGCACACAGAAAGCATTGCTCTGCTTACCTTTAATGAGATCTGTGTGCAGCTCAGGACACTGACAGCTTACATTCCCGTTACTCGCTGTGCATTATGTGTCGTTTACTGCGTGCCCTCCTCTCGCCTCCCCTCCCTCCTTCCTTCCCCCTCGCTCTCTCGCTCACTCACTCACTTCAGCTCTCTTGCTCCCCCTTTATCTTTTACCTCAGTTTGTTCTTTTCTCATCTGTTAACTTTTCGATTGCTTTGTGTGGTCCATTGTCTCACAGATTCAATTCAGCTGGCTTTTGAAAACATCTTGATGCTTTTTGCACTAATATACATTTTGGGTCCATGATGACTGCAAAGTAACAAACTAAAAAGTTTGGTATAAGACATTTAGATTTTTGATTATTTATAGTAATATATTTCATTCTATTTGGCTGTTATTATAATTTTATTTATTAATTAATTACATTTTATTTATTTTAAAAATTATTTTTAGTTTATTATTATTATTATTAATATTATCAAGGATTATTATTTTAAGTCTTCACTCTATGCAGCTCTGGAAAAAAAAAGAGACATTACAAAATTATCAGTTTCTCTGGATTTACAGGTATGTGTTTGAGTAAAATTAACATTTTTGTTTTATTCTGTAAACTCGAGAAATTACAACATTTCTCCCAGATTCCATATAAAAAATATTGTCATTTGTTTGCAGAAAATGACAACTGGTCAAAATAATAAAAATATGCTATGTTTTCAGATTTCACATAATGACACATTAAAGCTGGAGTTATTTCACCAAATATTTATTTCTGAATTCATTCTAAGTTAAAACATTAGTATTGTGGGGTTTTTTTTATTCATATGAACTTGTTTTCTTGCCATTATTCAAGATCTGAAAGCACTGTATTGTTTTTGTTATTTTGACCATGTATCTCTTTTTTTCTGAATAAAACAAAAATGTTCAATTTACTCAAACACACACCTATAAATAGTAAACTGGTCATTTTGTAGTGGTCTTTATTTTTAATGCTATTTAGGTTTATTAACAAATAGTAACAAAAATACCAATTCACATAAACAAATATATAAAAAAAACAAATAGTATAATTTGTAGTGGTCTCTACATTATTAAGAAAATAAAAATGAGAAATTATGTAAAAAATGAGAAATTATATTAATAAAAATGTGAAATGTTTCCCTGGCAACTAACTGAAATATTTTTTTAAGTTGACGCACAAAAACTACAACTGAACTAAAAATAAAATTTAAATAAATTAAACATAAATAGCAACATAAAAATGACAAAAGCACATAACAAAATGACTACAAATTTAACTAAAATTAAAATGAAAACTAAAAATAAACGTTAATTCAAAATATTAACAGTAAACGGTATATAGGGTTAATTGGTCCATTTTTCCCAGTTATCTTAATGGCAAAAGGTGTTCCAATTTACATGAACTCACTATACCTGCCCACAGTACGTAGCCTACTATATACTAAAGGAAACGTCGCATGTATACTATTCTAACAGCTATAAACAAACATACCAAGGCTAGTAATGCCATGAGGGATCGTTAATTTATAAATACACGAACAGTTAGTGAGGGGACAAGAACTCTTATTTGTGTGACACATATCTTGGTCAGATTAGCCCTTACCAATTACCACAGTTAGGCGAGGAACTTTACTTCACTCGTTAAGAAACTACAGCTGCTACTGTATCCTCTCTGTTTGCAAAACCATTCAGATTGTGGGACATTCGTGTCAGAGCACGAGAGACACTAACACGAGACGAGCTGCTACCGAGACTGTCACAGCAACCTGACGGCGTTGCTTGGCAACCGGGTGGCTCCGCTGAAAGGCAACCGAATCTCAGCTGAAACGAGGCCAGAAATCTTCCCCTTAAATGACACGTCAAAACAGGGAAGGAAGTCATCAGAAACTGGAACGGGTCCTGTGCAAAGTGCAAGCTTAAAGTTTAATCACATACTTACGCAGCTACACCTGCTCAAGGTTACGGGATGTTTATTTGTCCGTTTACACGCTCCGTATCGGTCATTTACTCTCTGTTTAACAAAAAACACCGAAATAACTCAAAGGGAATCGATGTTTTAAGCTCAAAGCAAACAAACTGACAAGAACTCCTTTGTAGCTGCAGAATTCTACGATCTGCCACAGCAAAGGATCGATATTTTATACAATGTAGAGGCCATTTCATGCCCATTTTTCCTACCAATTTTCTTAAGGAAAAAAAATTTTTTATATATATTTTTATATACATTTAATTTAGATATATAGCATATAAATTAAAATTTCTTTAATAAAATATTTTTTTTTATGTATGCAAATGTTCCGTCTACTATGTTACTGACCAAACAACCCCATGGAAGCCTGTTGGGTACATTGTTTTTGCAATATTTTATGATTTAAGTTTAAATACATATTCAAGTATGAGGTTAACCTGGTCTAGAAAATAACGTGGCTGCAGCATTTGAAATTATAAATCAAAATGGTAAAATTGTCAACTGTTACTTGTCAACTAAGTTACTATGTAGAGCCAATTGGTGGATAACGTTTTTCATACTCAGACTTTGTCCACTGACGAATTGTTGAAATGCCATATATTGTTTTTTATAATAAATTTAACCTTCTATGTTTCAGAGGAGATAAATATGAGCTAACAATGTGTGTAGTTAATGTTTCTGGTTGCATTTTTTTTTTTTCCATTTTATTAATAATAATAATAATACTTTTACAGTATATTTTATATCCAGACAGGTTGGTGTTCTGCATAACATCTCTTAAAATTCTTTAAGGAAGATTTATGATTTTTTTTTTTAAATCTGACCTTAGTAAATGTACCCCTAGTTATTAAATGAGGCGTCACTGTGAAGTATCACATTCCTTTCCTGTTTCAGAGCTTCAAACATGGTTGAGATAGCAATCGCAGTCCACGCTTTCCATCCAGGTGCCCCATTTTGCACAGAAGCGAATGAAACTGCCAGATCCCAGATGGATTGCGTTGCCCTGGGCACTGCCAATCTGCTGGAAACACACTGCGACCTTGAGTCACAACACTCGGGTTGCTGAGGTCAGAATTACAGCTTCTAAACAACAGAAAGACAAGAGCATCCCTGGGACATCCATAATATCAGTAGGGAAAGGGATATGGGATCATGGGATAGGGCACGGAGCCGATGCTATTTTGAACCGGTTTCGTTAAAGATGGCAAAATGACAATAGACCTGGGGTGTCATTTATGATTGTAGAGCAGATTTGACTAAATCAGGTTCTTAATCAGGGGGCCTTATAAAACTTCAAGGGGGCCCTGAAATGATTTAGTTATACACAACCTTAATTAAAATGCTAATACTGTATAAAGAAAGAAAAATTTACACAAAGCCCAGAATCAACTGTATGCTGCTTTATCAACCATTCACCATTAGATTACACAAAACTGGTAATTAGACAATATTAAATTACAACAATATTGTCAAAAAAAGAAAAAAACACTCACTGTTCTTGACTGGATAACTTGAGCTGTAATAAGTCACCTGAGATTGATCAACACAAAATTAAGCCTTATAACTCCATCTCAAGCACTAACAGCATCAAATCGGTATTAATTAATCTAAAATGTAATGGAGAAACAATGAGAAATTTACTTACCTCTAATACGTCCCTTGCCATTTTCCATGTTGTCATTATTTTCATGAATGACTCACACAGACTTTGAGAAAAATACATATTAATTTGTTCCATCGATATTCATATGGGTATATTGACCCCTGGAATAATTATTTCAGGATTGGTCACTGTTTATAGAACCTGTTCATGTCTGCTTAAAAGTTTAGTTAACCAAAAAATGAAAATTCTATCGTCAAACACTCATCCTTCACTTGTTCCAAATCTGTATGACTTTGTCTACTGTGAACAATTTTTATTTTTGGGTTAACTATCCCTTTAATATTTCACAGGTCTTTTTTTCCCTCACATGTGCATCAAATCAACATTTTGCATTTCCACTTCTGAGCAGTACTATAAAAAACAGGAACAGTAATCCAATTTTTAGTGTATAAATAAGTGGAATAAAGCAGCTTCAAAAATAGAGCAATCGTGTCTGACACCACACAGCGAAAAAGACACACTGAAAGTGAGAAATTAATCATTTTTAATAGAAAGTGAAAAATTGCACTCTAATAATATACAGTTATGCTTGATTCATACTTTACACCTGTATACAGCTGTATTAGTATGCAAAGATTGTGATCCCTTTTAGGGCGCAGGTTGTAAATAGGATTCAGTCACAGCTTTACTGATTATGCGGTGGTGGAGGAGGTGGAGGTGGAGGTGGGGTTGGGGGCTGGAACATAAAGCCCTGATTGGGCCCTGGGGGCCACGGGGCCATTCCCATGTGAAAGGGTGGCGGTCTGGGAAAAGGTGGCATCATTGGGCCCTGGAAGGGAAACATGTGTGGATCTGGAGGGGGGAACATGTATTCCGGTGGGAAGGGGGGGCGAGCGTGATAGTTGCTATGGAAACCGCCGCCACGATTGTGGTGCTGCCCACGGGGAACGTTGCGGTTCTGTCTGGGCTTCCGCCGGCCGGATTTATGAGGGGGCGGACCTTTATGGGCATCCAATTCGTCCTCTGGAAAGTAAAAACAGTGATTTAACAGAGCAGTTAGCGCATATAAACATTATGTGTGGTGCTCATTCAGGTTCGAATTCAGATCACGTCGGTAAAAAAACAAAACAATTGAACATAAAATTGACCGTTTGACTCACCTGAGTCAGAATCATTTTGTTGCCGTCTCTTTTGCTCTTTAAGCTTCTGTTTGGCCAGCCTCTCTTGCTCATCATCGCTAAAATCAAGTGCCTACATACACACAGAATAAAAACCAATCGGTGGAGAGGCTAAACCATCACTTATTAACAGATAATACTGATGGCATACTATTAGGGCAGGATATCACTCTATTCAGTAGAGTTTAAGCCTTTGTTGACCTGATTTCCTAAATAATTTTTACAAAAAGGGCACATTTACCTCAGGGGGTGGTTCCTGGTCATTTTTCCAGGATGCATCTGAGCCTTTGGTCCTTGTTTGAGAGAAATAATTTGTAAATGTTTTTCGGAAAAATACCATAGTAGAACAGCACTGAAGATA